TAGTATGAAATTCCAGAACACAGGACAGGAAATAACTACTCCATTTTTTTCAGCTTTTTGAAACTGATCCCACTAAATGCCCTAAGGGCATTTGCTGGGCCTTTTGCTGTCAGATGTATGTCCTCCCTCTGCTCCAACCCTGCTGTGTTGTGGTGGTTGAACTGGGAAGCAACATTTGGCAATGGCTCCCCTTCTTCTGTTGTAGTCTCTCCTAAAAAAACCCCTGTAATCCTAGCCTCTTCCCTTTTTGGCCCATAAATGAGAACGCTGGCTACGCCTTGCATGGGAGCGAGGGTCATCATGTATCCAGAGGTAAAGCCAAGTTTCTGTCTTCTCTCCCTTCAGGCAAAGAAAGTGATGGTGAAGACTTCCTGAACTCAGGGTCCATTTCCACGGTTTTATTGGACACACCAAGTCTGACTGACCCAGAGAAAAGCCCTTCCCCAACCCCAGTAACAGCATCTCCAATCCATGATGAGTTTAATGTGAATATTCATGAAGAGGTGAATTTTTTCTTCCTCATTTAATACCATCACTCCTTGAAAACATTGGTTGTGCTGGATTCGTATTGCAGATGCCAAAACTCAGTTTTCTGAAAAGATTTTTTTCTGGGTTGCACAGTTCAGTGGTGTCCCAAATCCTTTTGGAGAAGGTGGTTTTCTTGTGAAAGCTGCTGAGGAGTTTCATTTGAATTCAGTTAAATTTATTTTTTGTAATGATCAAATGGGATTAGGAGACAGCAAATAGCTGTATTTGTCATAAGAATGGGTCTAAACTATTTTTCCTATCAAACACAGAAATTACTTTTCTTATCAAAAAGCTCTTTTAGGAGCTGCATTTAATTTCTCAGGAACTTGAAGTAAACATGGTGGGACTTACTGAATGTATCCTGTCATATTTAAAAGGATACAATCATCATTACATCCATTCACTTAAATGTTAAGTGGTTCAATCTCTGACTTTTACAGTAACATTTTCCAGTAATAAAACTATAGATCTCCTCTCCTAAAGCTCTGAGTCAGAGCAGGGACTTGACTTACTTAACTAAATAGCATGAACACACTGTGAAGAAAACTGAACTAAATCAAAGCTGTTTAGCAGCTTTTTGGTATTCTGTGAGTGGCTGAGGACAGGAGTAAACCTGAAGAGTGGACTGCATTTCGTGGGGTCTGTGGTAGAGATGGATTTAGCAGGCAGCTTTGGGAGACTTGTGAGATTTTTGTCTATGCTGTAACTTATCTGTGCGGTGATTCATGTTTTATCTTCAGTGCCATCTTTCAAGTAGTAAATCATTGTATTGCAATAGAAAGAAAGAAAAGAATCACTTTAAAGTATCTTATTTCAGATACTTCTTTTCATAGTTTGTTATTTTTTTTTCATTTATGACTGCTTAATTTCAGTTCAAAACAGTGTAACATGTATTCTTCATTCTTTTTAGAATTCCTTACAGATTCACACCAGTATTTTACAGATTTCAATCCCTTCTTTTTCATCAACATCCAAAAGCTCAGAAACTGTTGCAGAGAAAGTGAAAACACAGCCTAGGCCAGATACTGGAAGTGAAATGAGGTATTATTGTTTCCATGTATTTTTCAACTGTAAATCCGATATTCTGTGACGTTTAATGAAAGTAAGAGTCTATCAATTACTATATTGTCAAGTCATGGAGTCAGTTTAACAAGGCTAGCATTCACTTGACTAGCTATAGCACACTAAGTTTATGTTCCTGAAGTGCATTGTTTAAATCTTTCAGTAAGCAAGTGTTAGTTTGGTTGCTGTTGCTTGTAGCAGCACTCATACTCTATACCAGCTGCTTCGTGAGGAATGAACAGAAGGAGAGAAAAACTAATATAATATAATGAAGGACACAGAATCACTATTTTTATCTAGGTTTACATCATCTAAGTCTGGCTGTGACAGTGTTGGCTCTGCTAGCACAAATGCATTCCTGATGATTTGCATTCAGACAGTTTTCACAGTTGCTAAAGACTGATGTAAGGCACCGCCAAAACTGCAACAAAAGAACTGTCCAGCTCTAACCTTGAGCTGTTAATGGAGCCCCAAAAGGAAACCCAAGAGCCATCTCAAAAGACTGGAGAAAGAGACACTCTTGTTGCTGTCCTTTGACGTGATGAAATGTGAAGATGTTTCTTCAGTTGCTCTTATGAGAGCCCTGCCTGAGTTTCTGGAAAGATGGACATGATGTGTAGGCACAGTGTCCTAGGGAAGCTGGGGTGGGGATGCGTGGCTGCACCCCAGGGCTGTGGCTGAGCAGACAGAGGCCCCCATGTTTGAACCCAGGGGCAGCCTCCTGGGTGAGAAGTGGCTGTCAGCTTCCTTCAGCGTTTCTAAGCCTGCACCCTCTGTGTCTGGGTGAGGAAACCTGGCCCCTGCAGATCTGGACTGGCACTGCAGGTAGTACTGAAAAGCACACTGGACTCACAGACAAGGGCTGTGCTAGAGTTTTTTTCTTCTGGGCCCAAATCCCTGGCTTTATCTAAATGAGTATCAAATACTAAGAATCCAGAGGCAAGGAAATCTTGTTGGCTTAAAACTGTCATCAAACTCAATGTGAAAAGTCACTGCAAGCACAAATTGCTGTGTGATTTTTCCAATTCCAGTCAAGGAAAGCATCCTATCCAGAAGGCCAGCTTTGCTTGTTTTCTGCTGTGCTGTGCCTCGTGCAGCTCTAGCCATCACCACCATGGATTTAATGTGTGTCTTATCTTGAAAAAAAACAAAGCACTAATCTGCAGCAAGATGCCCCACACTCTGGGTGACTTACAGGGAGCCAGTCCCCTCCACTATTTTGTGCTGCTGCAGACCCTGTACGTGCTGTAGCCTCTGCATTTATTTACAGAATCACAGAATGTTAGGGATTGGAAGGGAACTCAAAAGATCATCTGAATAGTGTGGTATTGTCATCAACTTAGCAGTGCAAGTTGTCTTTCCTGGGGCTCTCGAGCTCACTTTTGTCCTTTATCTTTTACAAGACTTGCCACTGTAGAGTAGAAAATTTGCCATGTGTTACTACCATAATAGCTGAAACAAAAATAGGATTAAAGCAGGCCGAGATGATAGGATGTCTGTATCAGCAAGGTATTTGGATGGGACCCCAAATGTCTTACTTTTTTTTCATCTCTCTTTGTTTTTACAGTGAAGGAAGATCAACAGGTTCCTCTCCAGAAACTCAGCTGTGTGATAGTCCAGTGTAAGTATCATAATAAAAAAAGTTTAGGAAACTTATTTATCATGTGACTGTCAATTTGAAACCCGCACAACTCATCCCCCATATTTTACATACACATGTAAATATGTCAACTAATTCTAGCCAAGATAATATTTAGTGTTCAGTTTTCTGCTCATGTCCTATGTTTTTGTGATCATTATTTTTCCAATGCATTATCTGTGCGCGTGTGCAGTTAATTTCTTTTACATTGTGAAGTGTCTCTAGTCGGGTTGTAGACTGTCAAAATTTACAGTTTTAAATTTACAGTTTTCTGTAGTACATGCGCATGTGATTTCCTTTTTTCTTTTGATTGTGGGGAAAGTTGATCAGCTGACTACAATGAGAAAACAATTTTAATTCCTGCCACATAGCCATATTCCCCAGGGAAATCAATGGGACTATTTATGAACTTGAAGTTGAGTCAAAGTGGTTTGTTAGTAAGGAGCCTAAGTCAGTAGGGTTTGTCTGGTACACAGTGTGATACTCAGCAGCTGTTTTTATTTTGAGTGACTTAGTGCTATGAGAATATTCCCAAAGCCAAATGCTGCTCCCCTTATGTTGGTATAAAGATAGATACCTTTGTAAAATTTCCCACCTGGTTGTGGGAAAAACTTTAATGCCAACTTTCTTTTCAACCAGACTTAAGTGTTCTAAACTGTAAATTCTACCAGAAGTTGGAGGATATCTGGTCTGAAATGGAAAATGGAACTGAAGATAAAATACTAAAACACACATGCTTGACTTAATATGCTTGGATTCTTTAAGGATTAAATTAGTCAGAAGCCTGTTGCTAAAAATACTGTTTTTGATAGCTTTTGTTTATATCACTTCCTTTGCCTGTGCAACTTCTGCTTGTGCTTCTGAAAATATAACATTAAATAAGAAGCCAAAAATATCCAAAGGTAGGCATCATATCACTGAAACATTAGCAGCAGTAATTACGATGTGGAGGTTCGTATAGCATCTCATCAAATTGTGTGGGCTCTGATTAGTGCATTGATTGCCTTAATTGAAAATGTCCTTGTTTTTAGTATATCTCATCATGTATGCCAATGCCTGCTTGCAAGCTGATTCCTGAGAGCGTGTTTATCTTAGCAATTTAATTCCAGTAACTTGACTTGGTTTTTATGTCGTTGTTTCAGAAGTTCTTCACTGCAGAAGTCCAGCAGTCTCAGCAGCTTGAGAAAAGAGACATCCGAAACGGTTGGTTTGGTCTCTTACTTCTTCCCATCCCATTAGAAATAGGGGTCATGTCTCTGTTGTGGCAGTGACCCTGTGGGTGCTCTGTTGCCTTCTGAGAAATTCTGAGTCAGAGTAGGGCTCCTCATATCATGTGTTAGCAATGGTCACGTACATGTGACATCTTCCAGATTTTATTAAAGGAGAAAATTTGTCGTTGGAAACACAGACACTTTTTTTTTTTCCTACGAGGTGTTTACCTGAGACTCTGTTGCTGTGTTTTTCCTCAGATAATGAGGTATTTTTTTAAGTTGATACACTTTTCTGATTTAAGACAAGAAGAAAGTAAGTCCCACTGCTAACTCCTACCTGTGTTTAAAGTGAATAATTTTGGAAGGCCACGTAATTAATGCATTATAAAATACAGTCTGGGCTGACTATATATTTTAGGTGGTCAGGAACAAAATACTGAGCCTTTATATGTCTGGTGATAGCTTCAGTTTAGGTTTCCCTTGAAGTGACCAAAAGCAGTTAGCCTTTTACAGTGTCATCACAGCAGGGAAATTCCTGTGCTCTTTTTTGACAGCCAAAATCCCTAAAAGCTCCTCAGTTCTCTGATACCCAAGCCTCTGAGCTGTGCCTTACATCTCAGGGGGGATGTTAACAGGGCTAAACATCTAACCAGAACTTGATGACGAGAGCTAGAGTTCATGGGTTAGGGGTTTGGGGTTTTTTTTGTTTGTTTGGATAGCCAGGGTGTGGATGTTTTATCTACTTGGCTTCTACCCTGTCTGATTCCTGCTTTGGGTCCCCTCAGCCAGCCGTGCCCATTAGTGCTTTAACAGTCTGCATGTTGCTAATTATGTACACAGCTAATCCTTTACAGAGTAAACTGAAGAAACTGTATTTTCATGTCAGCTCACCGACCTCAAAGTAAGCAAGAATTTATCAGGGTGAAATACAGCACTGAAGAGATTTATTTTGGGGGAACAAAAATAGGCAGGGAAGGCTATTTCAGTCAGAATTTAACTCAGGCTAATCATAATGGATTGAGGGCTGGCTATAAACCATGATTTTTTAAATGTCTTTCTTAATCTTTCCCAAACAGGACAGAGACTCTGCACAGAAGCAAACAGAGGTAACGTGTGTGTCTACATGGAAAAACCTAGACAGTGAGCGGGTGTTGAAAGGCTCAGTTACGTGAAATTGCAGCAGGCAGTTCCAGAGAGGGAAGGGCAGACCTGCAGACAACATAGCGAGGAGTATGTGATGGTTGTCACCATCACTTCAGTGTCAGGCTTACAGCGTCTCCCACGTTTTTGTCTTCTCACACATGGATTATCTCTCAGGCTGATTGAACATAAGGTTGCCATCTAAGCTAATGTTTCACCCTGGTATACTGCCACTAGATAATTGGCAAAGCTAACCATTAAGATTTTACTGACTCTGTAATTACCTTTTATTAGTGTCTCTTTAAAAACCTTTGGCTTTCCAAGTTGTTTTCTGTGAATAGCAACTGTGTTCCTAAAAAGAGTGTTGTTGCAGAACAGGTTACCCTGTGGTGCCGTATGGCCATGGTTTGCATGCAGCATTATTACCTATAGGGAGAGCTGACATGCCTCAGGTACCTCTTGTAGGGTGAATGCTGTATCGATTCAGCAAAAGCATCATAATTGGATTGTGAATGGGTTTGCTTCCTCCTTCTTTTGAAGAGACAGTGAAACAACCAGCCAAGTTAAAACTACTGCTTTAAATTGGTCTGATGTGTCCTGGCATTTATACTCCTTGCTTGATTCTTAATTTCCTCTCAGTTTTGGCAGTGGACATAGTCAATTAATCCATGAATTCTGAAATTACAGAACATTGGTAGACAAAAAGAGCTGCCTGACACTTGGTAGAGAACTGATATACTGTGGGGGGGTCTCGTCTCTCTCTGCTTCCCACTGTCCCTACAACTACCAGTGGGGGAGATAGAAACCCTGGAAAGCTGGAAAAGTTCAAAGCCTTCCAGGACTGTATTTTTACCTTTTTCATACCTGTAAGCCAGCCTTGCAGAAACTGAGAAACATCTTGAAGTCATGTTACTCTTAGAAGGTAATGATAGTAATCCTGGGTCCTGAACATATTCAAATGAAGATCTTGTTTATGTTTTCCTGTATTGCTTTTACATTTTGTTTTCTTGTAGTAACAAGTGGGAGGGACTCACCAGATTATCTGTCAGCAGTCACTTTGCAGTCTCTCTCAAAAGGCATTTTGCAATTCCCTGATATTGAATCTGTATTTCCCTAACTTTAGCAGATTAAACCTCCTGTGGAAAGTAACAATTTCGCAACCCTCCCTCCAAAGTCTCCTTCTCATGGTGGCACAGGCGACGAGGATAGTTTTGGTACCCGTAAAGCCAGATCTTCGTTTGGACGAGGCTTTTTCAAGATAAAAAATAACAAGAGGACTGCAAGTGCCCCCAATCTGGGTAGGTATCATGCACCTGCATACAGATTCTGCGTATATTGAAGGGTCATAACAATAACAGTAACTGTCTTATGAAGCAGGAAGGCCAGCCTTAGTCTCTTAGACATTAGTAGAATGTTTGGAAAATATCAAACAGCAACAACAACAAAAAAACCCCTCACTGATGTAATGAAGTATTTTTGATCTGTTTCAATCTCTGCTGTGATATCTCCCCTGGGACCTTGTAGTGGATTGCTGCTGTTTTGAAATGCTGTCTGTTTGGCATTAGTTCACACATGGGATTTGTGGGCTTTTTTTCCCCTGGCTCCATCCTCAGTTTATCTTTCATAAATAAGATGTTCAGATGTACAGAAAGGAGGCAGCAGCAGTCAGTGTTGCTCTTTATTTTATGTGTATTTAAGCAGCCTTGCAAAAGAGATTGGCAAATTATTCAAGTTCATGTTGATTTTTGGACCTGTAACAGAGGGGGTGTTGTTTTGGTATTGTCATTTGATGACATTTGCACATGACAAAGAAATAAACAAAATGTTCTGCTTAATGCAGAAGTCGCTGTTGCCACCAACTGAAATCCTACTTGCATTCACTGCTCTGCTAGGGTAGTTCCATTTCAGGCATCAAGTGAGTCTGTGCATCAGACGTACTGCCATTCATCCAAAGTTTTTGGCTTTCTCTTGCGTGAGATTTAGGAACTTAGCTCTGTCTTTTCAAGGGGGATAGCTGCTGCTTTGTTAAGCAGAAGAGTCTCCTGTTCTAACTCACTCAAAGACAATTTTAGACTTTTGTTCAAAGAAATAACATACCTACACATTTTTGTATACATTGCCCATATTTGCCTGTGACATATAGCATGAAATTCGCTAGCTTACTTGGAATAGATGTACAGTCTATTCTGAGGGTTAGACTCTTTGCTATTGTTTATTTAATGTGTGCTTTTGTGTAATCACCTGTTTAATCCTGAAATTACGTTGTCTAACGAAGTGGACCACTTGTGGCTGTCATAAAGGCTTGGAAGATGGGCCATCTAAATCAGGGTCCTGTGAATTTGAGTAAGTGATTTATGTTATTCAGATTTCAGTGCTTCCATTTGTAAAGCTGGTGTCCAGATACTTGCCACCTCACGGGAGCCCACGTGAGTCACCTGCCCAATGTGTCATGGAGCAAGTGACCTTCCCGCACCGAAGTGACTGTGGTGCTGTTTTACCCTCTCCACTATAGAGCTCTACTGCGTTTCTTTTTTGAGAGGGGGATTCACAGTGAATTGGTAATCCTAATCTCTGTGTGAATTCAGCATTGTGTGTGGCGCATGTGTCTCATGTACCTCCCTCCTTTTGTCTTGTATTTTACTGATGTAAGTTTTGAACTGTGTTTTACCTTGTCCCTCTGCGTGTTCTCTCCTGTTGTGCTGCGTGTGGTTATGTGCGTTGTTTGGATATCTGAAGATCGCAGTCGAAGTGCAAGTGCACCTACTTTAGGTATAGTAATCCTGCATGTCTGCCTGTACCAGCGCTGTGTTGTGACTACTGCTAACAGCTGGTTATGGCCACACACTTTTCAAACAAGAACTAGACACCAGAGCTCTGCATCGAAACTGTTGTCCATCACTAAAAGGAGTTTTCATGTAACATCTGCCCTCTGCTAAAAGTCAGCTGCGCCATTTCTCAGTAACTGCTACTAATGAGAGAGATTGCGGGTTAATTTGCAGAGACCTTTGCTGTAACTTTAAGCACAAAGTTACCCACAGACCAAGGTAGCAGGTGAGAATCAGTGATGTTTAAATATTGGAGGCACCTTTGTGCTGTTGTCTGTCCTGGAGCCCCTGGAAGATTGTCAAGAAGGGTGAAGCAGGGAATGAGGTGTATTTCTCAGCCACTCACTTAGGGGAGTTCTAGGGGGAAGGATATGTAATTCCTTTTCTAAGATGTAGTTTTATTTATTATATAATAAACAAATGAGAAATAATTGGGGAAGGTAGGGATGGAGCCATTCAGTTAGTAAAAACCAGTCTTGTGATGTGAGCGTTCCCTGGGTGGTTCTGGCAAGGGCAGGTAAGACCTGCCTTAGCAAGCAGAGCTGTGTCAGTCGCGGTGGTTGTACAGCCACCCGGTATGCCCCCCACTGATGAAGAGACCAAGTGCTCTGGTCCTTCTCAGTTTTCCAATGGCCCCTCAAATGCTGGCTGTTCTCCAGGGTTGTGTCAGCGCATGAAAGGGAGCAAGGTATGAGGAGCAAACGTTGCAATACCCGCAAATCTCTGCTACTAATGCACCCAACCTTGTCCTGGTAGTGTCTCTCTAGAATGCTGTTTAAATATGTTTTTTCTAAGCTAGCACTTCTTCTTATACAAGTAAAGCAAAAACCACAAAGACAAAAGCCTGGTTTGACGTTAGTGCTGTCACTGACAGGATCCCCATATTTGATAGCAGTCAAATCAAAGTGCCTGGAAATAATCTTTTATGTGACCTTACTACTTCACTGCAAGGTTTAACACCTAAAGCATCAGTGGAAAATGGCACATGGTCAAATGTATTCTGGCCAGATCATTAAACTTTGCCTGTCAGAAAGATACACTGGTGAAGCCTGCAGTTTGTTGCTGTTCATGGCACGTTGTGGCCACCTGTGGCTTGAGACCATGTGTCCCAACAATATATGCTCTACCTTGATTCACATAACTTGTCTGGTTTTCTCCTGGAAGTCTGAAAGACCATTTCAAAAACAAATGATGGTCCTCTAATTACACAGCCATGTTAAAAGATGGTAAAAGTGGTTACAGGCCTGACTGTCAGTCTGCTGCCGGCTGCCTTGCCACAGCTGCTTCATCTGAACAGGCTCGTGCTGTCACTGTTCTCCAGCAAGTAAGTGGCATAAACTTCCACGTGGTAGTTTTATTCAGCTTTCTGGCACTTGCTGGCACATCTCTGCTTACATAGTATCTGGTAGATACTGCAATTCTTCTAGTTTTCTTTTTAAATGATCTTGAAATAATTTTCCTCTTTGTTAGTTTAGCTTTTGTGACAACTTCCCTTTTGGGGACAGGAGCCCTCGGGTTTGCTGGCATAGAAAACAGTGGCTACAGATCAAAGATTTAATGCTTTTAGAGTGAGTGGTAATGTGTAGGGTCTCTAGTCAGAAATGCTTTGTGCATCACTCAGAAGATCTAGTTCAGATAGAGCCTGCATTCCATGGTGTTTCTCTGCAGAGGAACAAAATATTCCACAGTTTGCAGAAGTGAGGGGAAAAGGGCCCTCCTGCTTCTGAGGCAGGAGTTGTTTGTTGGTGGAATTTCCTGGATGGGGAACTTAATGGAATACTGCAGGTTATTAGGAAAGATGTTTGCAGGTAAATTACTTTTCTGTGCTTTGGGAAATCCTGGTTTGGTTCCCTGCCATGGCACCAAATTGTTTCTGGGCATCCAGGTGCCTTGGCTCTGTCTGTGAAGGGCCTGTAGGAGAACTCCCCAAGGAAGAGTGAACTTGGGATTTAATTCACTGATTGATTCACAAGGTGCTTTTTGCCCACCTTGCCCACAAAAAGATGCAAGGCACTTTACTGGTGCAGAGCATTGCCTTGGCCCATGAAGGAGACGCACGTGTTATTTCTCCTGGATTTTCCCGTCGGTCTGTGCCCCATTTTGTTAACTTGGTGGTTCTAAATAATTTTAGCAAGAACTGTTCCAAAATTCAGGAGAGTGTCTGTACAGTCCTGTGCAAGTGGGTCTTGACGGGGCTTTTGTTTTCCAATAGCTGAAACGGAGAAGGGATCTGCAGATCACTTGGATCTGGCTGGCTTGCCCCCTCGCCCAAAAGAAGCGGATAGTGTACAGGTGATGCCACCTTCTCCAGATTCCAAGAAAAAGGCCAGAGGGATCAAGAAGTTATTTGGAAGGTAAGTAAAAGATGAGAAATTCCTGTTCTCCACAGCTGGGACTTGCATGGGGGTTTGCTGGGAACACATCTTCTCTTTTTGTCCTTCCGACTAGACTTAAAAGAAGTCAGTCTACCACCTTCAACCCAGATGACATGTCGGAGACAGAGTTCAAAAGAGGAGGGACAAGAGCAACTGCGGGGCCACGGCTGGGCTGGTCTCGAGACCTGGGGCAGTCTCACAAGTAAGATGAATGGTGTAAAGTGTGCTGGTGCTTGCTTGCCTTCCCAGCAGCTCCGGTCAAGCACGGGGTCCAAAGGAGAAGTGCAGTGCCATAATTAAATGTCCCCTCTCCTGAAAAACAGAAACAGGCAGATCCAAGCCACTTCCTCCTTTGGGAGATGATCTTTGTGGGTTTGAGGTTGGTTGGGTGGTGGGATCCTGCTGTCAAGGAGAGCCTTCCTTGCTCATGGCTTCGTAGGAGTGCAGCTGTGAGGCTGTGTGAAGCAGGGCATGAGCTCTCACGTGGTGGTGACAGATATTGCTCAGGTACGTTTTCTGCTGCATTTCTGGGGATTAAAGGCTGAAGTGAAACATTATGGTCTCAGTTCAGAGTTTTAGCCGTGCTGGGCAGCAGAGGTGGTTTCCAATAGTATGAACAGACTGCATTTATTGTGACAGCGGCAGGAGATCAGCAGCGATCAGCACTTCATGGTGCTAACCTAACAGCTGTGGTGCATGTTCTCCCCGGAGGTTGTGCCAGCTCAGACAAAATCCTCATGAATTACACTTAGGTTTTGGTTTTATCGTTGTGTATGAGAACAGGAGATTTGAGGCATGGGATTTATCAGTCTTTTTTTTTGGTAAAATCTTCTGTAGTGAGCTGGACATGCCATTTGCAAAGTGGACGAAGGAGCAGGTTTGCAACTGGCTCCAGGACCAGGGACTAGGCTCTTACATAAGTAATGGCAAACACTGGATACTGTCGGGGCAAACACTTCTGCAGGCTTCGCAGCAGGATCTGGAAAAGGTGAGGAATACTGGAAACGATGCTTTCAGGTAAAGATACAAAAGAATTGGTATTTCTGTGCATGTAAATCATGTTTCTGAGCTGCACCCAGTCAAAAGAAAAAGGTAAACGAGTTTTTAAAATATTGTCATCTGCAGTGATGAAAAATCCATTTCTTTTCAGTTTAAGTTCTGTAGAAATTTAATGCTTTGTAATGAGACTAATAATTACAAATATGTGATTTAACTTCATTAAGCATGGACATATCAATTGGCTATGCCATCTTCTAAAAATATGCCTGTGAGAGTGCCTCATTATCATATGGGTTTGTGGCCCCGATTCATTAGCACTCATGTATGGTACAGTTATTTTATGCCTTTGTGAGAAGGGTGTAAAAACCTGCTAGTATAGTCTGATTATGATTTCTGCCCATTTTACACAAAGAAGAATGAGGATTTGTTACAGACAGGATGATCAGTCTCTTTGTCTTAAATAGTTACATAATTGTTTGTGTTTTTTCTAAAACTAGAAACAGAAAAAAAGTTGATTCAATTTATACTTTGAATCCACAGTATTTGCTAACATTTGAATTTTCAGCTTTTAAAAAAATCACTCTCCTCACCAATTAGTAAGCCTGTTTTCTCAATTAGGCAATGAGCTAATTCAAAGTTGTAGTTACAGTACAAATGGAATAAGAAAAGTGTGATATGAATGTAGTGGCTTGTAATAGTGTTATCAGAGGTAACCTTACCAAGCAAGCACTGGTAAAAGCGTATATTGGATTGAAGAGATCCTGTAATGGCTGCACTTGCAGCTAAACTAGGGAAGGTGTTATGCGTTTGGAAGCTTGAATAATTTTCGTTAATTCCTCTTATCTAAATAATTCTTTTCACCTTACCTGCCCAAGTGGGAGGGAAGGAAGTAATCCCATCAAATCCCATCTGAACGCTAACCTGGTTTATATTGTGGGATTTTTTTTGAACCTGGTATGAGAATATTGTGGCCAACATTTTCATACAGTTTGGAATCCACCACATTTTGAAGTTAATCCACCACAGTGAGCATGCCTTTCCTGAACATTGCGCTAAAATGGTATTGATATTCAGCAAATAGAAAATACACCTGGCACATCACCAGCAAGTGTTGTGCACAGTGTGACTCTCTGAAATCATTTGTAATTCAGCAGAGAGAGAAAATAAAATACAGTATTGTCTCTATGTTTGCTGCTTTCCTTCCTTTCACAGGAGCTTGGGATAAAGCACCCATTGCATCGGAAGAAGCTTCAACTTGCTCTGCAGGCACTTGGGTCTGAAGAGGAAAACAATCATGGAAAACTGGATTACCACTGGGTTACCAGTAAGATTTTTATTACACGCTGAAGCAGCAACTCTAGATAGGGGTTCCTAATCATGACTAATTTGGGGCTCAAAGAATGAGAACATTAACTGGTGCTAGCTAACTTGGCTACCACACTAAGATGAGTGTCTGTCTTTGCCATAGGATGGCTGGATGACATTGGCCTTCCCCAGTATAAGACCCAGTTTGATGAAGGAAAGGTGGATGGCCGAATGCTCCATTACATGAGCGTGGTGAGTAAATGGCTTTTCTTGTCCTGACATCTTTTTCATGTTCTTAGTTTCACCCCACTTTAATGCACACTGGCATACCTCCAGATAGCTCACTAAAGACCACAAGAGAGACCTGCTGTGCCTATTGTTGCAACTGTGTAGATAATAAATTCACGTAACACCCTCCAACCTCTCCATCCTAGCTACCGTGTTCCTCCTGCTCCCTTTGGGTCAATTCACCAGCAACAGCAGCCTTTTTTGCACCCCGCAGCACAAGCAGCTGTGCCCTACCATGCACCTCTGCAAACAGCCTTCTCCTCTTCCCACGTTCACCTGCTCTCAGCTGCCCCCAAGCCTTTCCCAGCAGCAGCCCCGGCCTCAAACACACTCCCTGCCCCTGCTATATGTAAGGGGGAAGAGGGTTCCAGGCAGCAGCTGGCCCCAAGAGACAGCTAAGCTGTGGCTGGGGAGGGGG